TAAGTCTGCTATTGTCCATGCCAATCTCTGCAAGTGAAGCTGATTAATTAAAATTAATAGAAATTATGAATATTTTGAAGCAATATTTGTTTCTGCATGCATGCTTTGAGAAAATTTTGTGGAATTTGAACAGATTGACCATTGTTTATCTGGCAGGCTACTGAGAATTTCTCATAGCTCACATGTATATTATTTAAAATAATCATTTACTAGATAAGTATGTATCTAAACAGATTGTAAAATGCATATTCAATGTGTTAGGGTTAGATGCAAGAGGTTAATAAATGTGAAGAGATGTTAGTGAGGAGAAAGAACAATAAAAAAAACCCAAAAAAAACAGGATTTAAGAATGGTGATTGACATTGCATTTAAATTTATGAAGATTGGAAACAGCAGGGAAGCAAAAGTCCAGAAGACATCTCCACAGGTGAGAAATACGATAAAAGAAACAACTTATGATTATATTTAGCTATTTCAACATGTTTAATACTGATATCAACACGTTGTTCAGGTTAATAATATTCCAAAAGAACATATTGGCTCCCAAGATGAGTGAAAGAACTGTTTATTCATGTGAATTAATATTACAATACTAGCAAATATAGTGTGACAGTCTTTGCAACAACTTTTATAGTCAATGGAAGAGTTCATGTACAACACTTTAGTGTAGCAAAGGTTGGTCATCTTTCTATACAACACAACAGTAAACTGATGAGGCCTAGTTGCCAATCTAGTAGTACACTTAAATTCATGCAGTTGAGCTACCAAGGAGGAAAGCTCATTAAAACAACAATTTCTATGTGGATATTTATAGAAAATAATATTGGGAAACTACATCACAGTGGTGGGAAAGTGACTGAAGTTAGAATGGATAAGATTACAGACTCTTCTTTGGAGTTTGTAAAGAATCTTGCGATATATAGCAAGAGCACTAGACCAAATAACCTATCTCACTTCACACAGCCTTCTTTCAAATAAAAAAAAAAAAAAAAAAAAAAATGGCTTTCACTTCTCTCTATCAACCACCAACTGTTAACACATTGGCAGTTGACTTAAAGAAGCGAAAGCCATATTCTTTTTCTGAAAGAAGAATGTCAGTGTGAACATAGAAATCAGCACTGCATGGTGACTAAGTTTCATGCTTAAGTGCAATCATCAGACACATGTATGTGTGTGTATATATATATCAGAAATTTTGCCTATGTATATCAGATTCAAATGCAATTACTGCAAGAAATTAAACCAATTCTTGTTTCTTTTTTTCATTTCTTTCTACCTCCTGGAGTTTACTGTGTCTATAAGTAATAAAAGGAATTAAATTTTTGACATTTATTGGGTAAATATGTGAATTGCTGATTACATAAATGGGTAATCATACTTATTATAAAACCTAGGTTGTGTGTGTGCTCGTTTATATACTGGATTTCAACAAAACTTCACAGGACTACGTAAAATTACCTCGCGGTGGTTCTGAGAGCGCCAAATTTGGAAAAACAATTGTTTTTGCATGAAATCAATTTGAAAACATGATTAAGAGGCATCGCCGTTTCAAGAATGAAACGGAGACAACTCATATTGAGTTATACTTATTATAAAACCCAGGTTGTTTGTTTGTGTGTTCGTTTATATATGAGATCGGATTTCCTACATTTTTCAACCGATTTCAACAAAACTTTTTTTTTTTGGCAGGTAGTGTTTCTTATTGTCTTGCACACTTTTTTCTTTATTTTTACATTCAGAATGCTTTAAAAATTCCATTTACAAGACAATTGTTTATAATAAAATTGAAAAATTCTATTCAATTGGTAGACTCCTAACGATTGAAAACAATGTTTTTGTTTGGGTTTGACCAATTCGTAAAAAAAAAAATAAAGTAAAACTAATTAAGACGTGTGTCCATCAACCTTAAACAATAATCTTTGTCAATTTTATTTTTCAGTCTTTATGATGGTCGATACTTGATCTATCTCTTACTGTTACATCCCCAGGCAACGCCGGGCTCTACTGCTAGTTTTATTATAAATTACTATATTCTATTTTCTAAAGAATTTTTAAGGTGAATATAATACTTTCATTTTTTTTTAACTGTGGAAATGTTAAAACCATAGCAAATTAGTAAATTTCCTACAATTAGAAAAATATTAATAAATTTACCAATATTATTTCAATAAAAAAAAAAAAAAAAAAACTCTCCCCCCAATCCTTTGAAATCAAATTTACCACAAACCAGCCAATATGGATTATTTCACATCAAGTCATTTTCTGAATATCTGCTTTCCATAATGACAACATATACTGGTGAATTCTTAATTTTCTGTTTTAGAGAATAAATATTCCTTATTTTTTTTCTTCTGATTTTATAAACCTATTAGTACACTGTTTAAATTACTTTTTTTACATAAAAAATATATATACTAAATAAATTTTACAATTTTTTAAATATCTATTTTTAATAATTTTACCAAGGAACTTTTTTTAGGTTGTTTCATTATAGGATTTTCCTTGACCAAGCAGTTCAGACTAACATGTACTAATATATATATATATATATAATAAACAGTCTGCCACAATTTAATACATTTTGTCCCATAGATTGAATACTTTTAAACTTTTTATTTAACACTTTATATAGTAACAGTAATGTCACTCCTGTCAATACTATGCAAATCTGAATTCCTGGATGTATTATTTAAATTTACATAGTCAAGATAATTGTGTATTTTTTTTTTCCTTTTAACAATCTATGCCCAGCCTGCAGTAGTTGTACAAGCCAGTGTTACCAGACATGGCATTAATTTATGCACACATCCACTTCATGCATTCACCAGCCTGTTACATTTATTGATTTCAACATTGTATCCATGGTTACTTTCAAGGTTGCAAACATGAAAGGGGAACTCTCAAGCAGTTTTCTTCAGGGGTGCTTTTTGTTTATTAGAGATACTTGGGTACTTTTTGATCTCTTTTCATATCTTATATGTTGCCTTACTGGTCTGTAACAGGTGACAAGAGAACAAGAAGTATTTTTTTTTTTTTATTACATTGACAATTCTAAAATCAATGTAGTTTTTTTTTTTCGGTGGGAGCGGGACTGAAATCTGTTGTTTTGTTGGTTTTTACATGCTCTGTTTGTTGTCAAAACTTGTAAACATTTACACCATTTCTATGCCTTAACAATTTTTCTTTCCAAAATATAGCAAATTTTAAACAGTATAATTAACTAATCATACTCTGAGGTTGTACTTCTTTAAAAGTTTTAATATGGAGCATTTTCTGTTATTTTACTAATAATGATATTCAACAACATTGCTCTGATTATCTTTTTCCTTTCTTCAACTCTGTTGTTTTTGGTTGAGAGACTTGCATATATTTTTATATGGGATTAGCAAGATTGTTGTAATTAAATCTCATTTATTTCATATGCAGCATGTTAGAATTTATGTTGCTATATTTTCAAAATAGACTTTATTATTCCAATATTTTTTTACTTCCCTTTACTCCCAAGCTTGTATTTAAAGGTACCTGCAGAGCAGAAAATGGCTTTATAAATAGATGATTGTTTTGCAGATAGATTTTATATGCAAATAAAGATCACAAAAGAACAGATTAGAAATGAATAACAATGATTTTCTTTTTAAATCTGATTTTTAAAGCTGAATATGGAAATTATCTTATCTCTAAAAAGAAAAAATAACTATGTAGAACAAAATATGACACATACTGGTAGATATCAATAATAAAATTACATTTTTTTTTATGATCCATTTTTATATGGTGTGCAACAAAAATACCTTCCATATAATAGCAAGACTTTAGCTAGATGAAGACACAATTGCCACTAATGTCTTACAATTATATGGGAGGTATTTCTGTTGCACACTATATAATAGTTACACACATACACACACACACACACACACACAATCACTAGCAAATACAAAATAGTGCTCAGGGACTCCAATTAAAATCATAACATTGTGTTTCATATTATTACAATTGCCATATTTATTGAGTGTGCAGACCAATAGGTGTAATACACACTATTTAAAAATAAAAACAAGCAATCTATTTTGAATATGAGTATACACTAAAAATAACATTTGAAGTATTGTATATTTCCATGTATAAGGCGACCTTTAGAAGAGTTAAAAAAATATAGCAAATTTTCATGAATTTATCCTATACCTGCTTATTGATTATATAAAGATGTTATTGAAAATTTGTTTATACTTCATCAATAATCCCAAAATACTGCTAATAACAGTACATTGTTGGTTATCACACTGAAGCTAAGGTTAGCCTACTGACAAACATCATTCAGAATTTAAGGTTTCTTTTTTAGAAATGGAGTACAAAATGACCCAATTTTTAAGGTTGTTTTTTGGGATTTAAAGGTTCTTATATGCTGAAATATATGGTAGTAAATCTCAAATGTACGATAATAGTACATTTGACTTTCAGCATTTCTTTTATTCAGTCTATTTGTAATTTTTAATGAGAAATGAAGGTTATGTTATCTTAAATGTTATTACTGATATAATTAACACTACCATGATGATTATTGAAAGTTTAGCAGAAGATAAGATTACACTCACATCAACCTTTAACTTGAGGTTTACATTTTCTCTCACTGATATGGAATTATTCTTCAAATAAGCAATTTATTATGATGTCAGTAATATATAAGGTAGGAAATGATTTTATTACTTTTATTATCAGTTTATTTGATAATGTGAATCTTTTTTATATACATTATTGGTTATCGCACCAAAGCCAAGGTTAGCCTACTGACAAACATGTAAGGTTTCTTTTTTAGAATTGTAGTAAGGGTGATTTTTGGGATTTAAAAGTTGTTTTATATGCAGTAATAAAACTCTCAGATTAAAAATAAATCTATTAATTCTTTAGAAATATATAGTATATATAATTTTGATGGTTTCAATTGGAGACACAAACGTTACCAACTTTGATCATATTTCAAATCTTAGGTAAGTGTACTTATGGTCATATTACGTTGAAACACCAGTTCTCATACAGTCACTGAAGTTAAGCAATGTTGAGTCTGGTCAGTACCTAGATGAGTGACCACTTGGGAATACCAGGTGGTGTAAGCTTCAGATGTGTGGGTGGTGTAATGGATACCAGCTCAGAATTAAAATCTCTGGGGGACAAATGTCAGGAAAAGAAAATGACCACACTACATACATACTTACTGAACCCAATCTACCCCATCATGTTAGATGGCTGTTGACTCTACAAGAAGGTTCATCTGCCCTTTGACAGGTCTTGTTTTGAATCCTGTTGGGTTTTGTGCCACCCTCCTCACCAGCGAAGCTTGGTGGGGAAACCAATGACTCTGTAGTACTGGGTTATATGGTACCAGTAGCACATAACCTGATATATGACATTATACAGTGAGAATTTTAGATCAAATTTTATTTAATAACTGTGACAGATTTATTGATTTTCTCTCATATTGATATCAGCAATTTCTAGAGATTATTTTAGAATCTGCAGTAGAAGCAGAAATAGAAGTTTTCCTCCTACACACTATTTTTCTTTTTTTTTTTTTAAAGGCTTTTGATAATTACCACTTAATATATCTCACTGTAGCTCATCTCACCACAAATAATGCTTATTATAAACAAATCTTTACACTAGAAAAATTACATTTGCCAGCAATTAATAAAATTATTGGGACACTTAAAATAGATGTTTGGAATTAATTAGATGTATCTCGTTCTGGTCCATATGAACTCTAGACTATAAAATATTTTTAGGTAAAAGGAGATAGTAATTTTGATCTTGTCTTTTTTAGAAATCAATAACCGTTTCAGAACACTTGTCTCGAGGCCAGGTTACCTGAGATCAATACATAAATTGTCGACAAAAATTGGTTAGACTTTTGATTGCATTAATAGTATTTTCATTGACAGAAAGCAAATATAAATGCTTAGCACGACAACATACAAGTAATACACTGATATGCTGAGCAATATTTATGTAAAAATGATAAACAGATGTTCTAAAATGGGTGGAAAAAAAATACCATGTGTAAACAAAGCATATCTGATTGTGTGTTAGAAACTCTTATGGAAATGCAAGATAAAAATTCTGTTAAATTCAAACACAAAATAAAACATGTTGTATAAGAAGTTGTCATTAACAGAAGCAGATTTGATATGAAACATTCATGTATATTTACTGGTTGGAAATATGAATTCCAAAAGTTAAGTACCATATCTGATAGTATATAGGGCCAACTTTTTTTTCTCAAAATACAATGGCTCAAAGTATTCCTTTAGTCTTTGATGTGAAAAGCTGTTAAGCTAATGTTTACTCCAAAAGCTAAGAAACTAGCAGTATTTGAACCAAACCAAACTTTTATAAGACTAATATTATTTACTCAACTATTAAAATCATTACAATAATAATGAAGGTCACATGACCCAGTGGATAAGTGTTGGTTGAAGTAATCCAAAAGTTTAATACCTGGCCATGGCAGAGGTAACAAAAAATCCAAAAAAGGCATGGCATATGAAGCTAGAACAATCTACCCTCATGGATTAAATAAATGGTTTGGTTTGAAATTCCAATGTATATCACCTGAAGAAGGCCAGAGTGTACAACGGCTGAAACATTGTCCAAATCTTTATTGTCATATTCACAATGTAAAAGGTGTTACCATGTACATGTTTTGTCTTGGTGAATTAAAATGGGCTACAGTAAATACAATTCCGTACCACAGATTTGTTTGTCAGTTTTAGTTGCCTGACCATATTTGTTTATGATCAGGAGTAGTGGAGGAACATCAAGACCAAGTATTCTGGGATTTATTTCTAGTTTTGATATTATACAATACAGTTTGTAGGATAAGGCAACTTGGGGTTCACATCTAGATACTTGGAAATATCCTCAATCAGAGGCCATCTGAGTGGATTGTGTTGTTCAACCTGAAGGTATTTCTAACTAAACCACACCTGCAAATTTATGCAATGCTTCTATCAGACTGTCAGCATATTGGTATATTTGTATCCCATCATCACTTTGTAGGCATGTCTCTCTCAATAATAATATGAATAATAAATACTTAAACCTTGTAACAATGGAAACTGGCTGCTCTGAGATGAACAGCTTCATTTAGCACTGAACTTAAGATGGCTACAAAAGGAAAGTGCTTAGACAATTGGATACAAACTAAAAATACTAAACTCTACTGAAGAATATAGTAATAGTATGTGAAATTTTTTTTACTTGTGTTTTATTTTGTCATGTATACTATATTTGGATGTGCATTGGTGTAATGAATAGCAACTCCATTCATTGCATTCACTTATGTGTAAATACCCTTGGGAAGATACTAATACATCTACCTCAGCTATCGGTTAAATAGTACAAATTGTATCTGGAAAAAATATCACCAAAAAATTAGTAATGCAATATTCACTCACAAAATTACAATCTTAAATATGTTTCAGCTTTAAATAACTCACAAGGGACTGATAAGCTGTAAAAAAACAAAAAACAATCAATTTTGCCATTATTCTCAAAGTTGTTTGGATTAATATGGATGAGGAAATTAGTCTGAACAACTCAATGAATAATACTATTAATTATTCTTGATTTTTCTCTTGGAAAAAAATCTCAGAGAATTATAGACCAATAAAATGTGTGGGAGTGGATATTTGAGTGGTTGCTTGGCAACAGAAACGATTGTGCTTTTGATTGCAGTGAATCAAAAAAATAAAGATGGAAGAAGCTGAATGCAACTGGCCAGATATATGCATACATATACATACATGTGTGTATATATATATATATATATATATATATATCTGGAGAAAGCCAACCCATCCAAATCAAACATCATGAAACTAGAGAGGCTGGCAATCAGAACCCTACAGAGGAATGAAAACATTATCATATTACCAGGAAAACTGGAAGACCTCATTAGTAGCTGCAATGGTAGCTATAGTAAAATAAAGAAAGATCCAGGAAGAAAACTGTTGCAGATCCTGATCAAGAACAAGGACCACTTCCCACCTAAGACATACAGGCAGTTGTCACACCCTTACAGCAAGCTAATTCACATATACAGCCTCCCCAAAATTCACAAAGACAGTATTCCACTTAGGTCAATTACCTGATGAGGCTCTGTGTACCACCTTCTGAGTCACTTCCTTGTGGATATATAATTGATCCCTTAAAGTCACCAATCATATGTTCATAACTCCATCCACTTTGTGGAAATGATCAAAGATGCTCCCATCCATTCCAACCAGATGGTGAACCTGGACATGTGTTCACCAAAGTACCCACAGAGGAGGCACTATCAGTTAGTGACAGACTGGCCTTGGACTCATCCCAGTATACCAATAGATAACCTGATGGAAATGCCAACTTTCTGTACAAAAACAACATACATGTTTGATTCCATTCCAAAGTATCAGCAGGATGAAGGCTTAGCAATGGCTAACATATACATGTAATACTTCAAAGAAATGGCATTAGAATGCACATCACTAAATCATATGGCTGAGATATGTAGATTATACCTTTATACTCTGGGCACACCAGGAAGAGTTCCAGCTACTACTATTGGACCATGTGAAATCAATAAGATCCATACAATTCACAAAGGAGAGAGAAAACAATAACAAACTAGCATCCCTGGATGTACTAATATCTCAAACAGAGCATAGGTCCAAGACATCTGTATACCACAAGTTAACATTCACTGGATAATACCTCAACTTCGACTCCCACCACCCATACAGTGTAAAGAAAGGGATCGTCCACTGCTTACAACATCAAGTAAAATCATAAGTGGGTGACCCAGACACGTATGAACAAGAAATGGTCAATATAAGCATTACCCTACAACGTAACAACTACCCTGGGTACATAGCAGCAGCTCAAACAAACTGGGATAGAAGGGTGCAAGAGGATAACACTCAGGGTAGACAGACCAAGGCTGTTTTCTATGTGAAGAGAAAAAAAGATCTGTGGTCCATATAACATCAGGATGACCTTCAAAAGTGGTTCACCATTTCACAGGCACCTCTTCCAAATAAGACCTTGCATAGATGAAAACATGATTAAGGACTGTGTATGCCATCCTAGGCAGCTGTGGTAAGAAATATAAAGAAGAAACATAGTCTGGGCAGCACAAAGCTTCCATATACTAATGCTCAGGTCTACGCCCTGGAGAGGTCACTCCGACTTCACCACCAAAGGACTGAATTTTGACCAAAGAGGTTGCTACCTTTATCTTCTGATACAATATTATATATATATATATATATATATATATTAAAAAGAAGAGAGAAACCGCAAACGTTTTTGGTCGTAATGTGGATTTTTAAAAGAATATCATGCTTTATTTTCCATAATTTTGCTACATGTGTTTCTAGTCTCGCAATTGTCATCAGGCAAAAGGTGGAGATTTCCACATATTAAAAATAATTAATTTTTTTTAATTATGTTTTCTGATGTTAAATATTCTCGATATGAGACATTCTCTTTTTATGTTAGTGATCCAAACATCTTTCTTGAACTGGTAGTGAAATGTTCTGCATGAAGGGTTATAAAACAATTAAGATTCGTTCAAGAAATGATGAAGTAGTCATCAGCATTCTTATCTTTTAATGACCCCAGTGTGTTCTTAGATTGTTGGGGCCACCCACCTTTTCATGAGAATGGACTGATCTCTCTACTACTAATAGGACAGTTCTATAGAGTTCTGGGAGATCAGGTGACCATCACACTTCCGTCTCTCTACCGGAAGGTACAGTTGGACTTTATACTCTTTCTGATTGTTACTAACCTGCGTTTGTTTGACTACTAATCTCTCTGTTGTAAATACCTCTTCAGATATACCGGTATTTTTCCCTATGTATGTGTTTGTCCTTATTTCAATACACGCACGGGGAAACACTCAACATCTCAAGTGGTGACGAGGATTCGAACGGATAAAAAGAACTTACGTTGAAAAATAAATATCGCAACAGCGAAAGAAACAATTTCAATATGGGAAAATTTAAAAGAGTTCAAGTATTTTTTCACAGCAAAGGATTGAAAAGTTTATCGACAAAAGGAAAAAAAGAAAAACT